CCACCACCGGCGTCCCCCCACCCCGCCCCGCCCCTCTCTCCAACCCGGGCTGCCCCTGTGAATTGGTGGGTTACAATTTTAAAAAATGAATGCGCTTGGATTAAGCCGCGCAGGTTCAAATAAAGGCGTGCCCAGATTTATGGGAAGAACTGGCACGCCGTTTGCCCACGGATAATGGGCTCGTGTTAATACTGAAAGTTTTGTAGGAAGTCCTAGGAAGGAATGTGGAGAAGGGCGGTTGATGGTCCATTAGAACTTGTCAGAATTAAAGAAAACCCACCTTCGTGCCCTAATCCTCTCTTACTGCTCTCTAGGGCGCATTTTCCTAACAACCGCTCCCTTTTTCCTTATCTGGTGCCCTCCCCTTCTGCCGGACTTCAGCTCCCATCATTCTCAACCTCCCTGAGGATTCTGGGAGTCGTAGTCCAATGCACCGGGAAGGTAGAAGATGCCTTTCTTTTCCCACGGTGATGTTTGACGTGCCGTCAAGGTGCGCAGCCCGTAACGGGCTCCCTCTCTTCTCCCCAGGTGTGGTTCAGCAACCGGAGAGCCCGTTGGCGTAAGCAGGCCGGGGCCAACCAGCTGGCCGCTTTCAACCACCTCCTGCCGGGCGGCTTCCCCCCAGCCGGAATGCCAACGTTGCCCCCCTACCAGCTGCCCGATTCGACGTACCCGACCACGACTCTCTCCCAAGGTGAGCCTCAGAGCCTGCGATCAGACAGAACCCTTTCTGCCTTATTTAATACCCGGTTCCTTTCCCAACTTATCTGTACGACTCAAAGCGATGTATTGAATGCCCCCGGCCCCTTTTTTCCCCAAAAAACCACCGCCCTGGGAGGTGGGTTGGGCCGAATGGGAGCGACCTGTGCAAAGTCACCCAGCCGTTTTTTGGGCTTATGGGAAGGCTGAAATTCTCAATCTCCTGGTTTCTAGCCCAGCCCCTTCCCCACTACTCCAGAATGGCTCCTGTTGGGCTCTTTTGGGGGGTCTTCGGCCAACAGACCAGGTGCCCTCCTCCCATCTTTGCTTCTCTCTGCTCCTAAAGTGTTTTGGGTCCATACTGGATCCTCTAGATCAGTGTTCCTCAACCTTGGTCACTTGAAGATGGGTGGACTTCAACTCCAGAATTGAATGGCTGGGGAATTCTGGGAGCTCTAGATGCTGGATCCTCAAGTAACAGGACTTAAGGTCCTCTGGATTCAGAAGCCGCGTGTAAGGGAGGCTAGCAGACGTCTGCTCCCTCCTCAAATACAGAGTGTTATCCCATTACCCAACCTTTGCTCTATTTCCCCCGTGTTCTGGCTTCCCAGCCTGCAGACCCCGGGGTCTCTCAAGATTTATATTTCGGCTCACTCTGGAGGGCACCTGGCGTTTTCCTCCCCAGGCTTTGCGCCAAGGAAGCAGGGGCAGGTGGACATTTGGGGCTCTGCCGCCGGGGGTCCAAACGTGTTGCTTCTGCAGAAATGCATCGTTTATTTCCTTCTGCGTTGCTTTGCGCTGCGGACTAGCCTGGTGGTCTCCCATCCAACCCAGTCAGCTCCGCAAGGAAGCGGACTCCTGGGCACCATGTCTCACTGGCCCTTCTCTCCCCACAGATGGGGGCAGCACCGTGCACAGGCCCCAACCTCTCCCCCCATCCACCATGCACCAGGGAGGGCTGTCGGCCACCACCGGTGACTCCAACTCTGCCTACGGAGCCCGCCATGGTTTCTCCAGCTATACCGACAGCTTCATGAACCCCACAGCTCCGGCCAATCATATGAATCCCGTCAGTAACGGCCTCTCCCCCCAGGTAAGTCACCCCCGTGTCTTTTAATCCTCTCTGGCCGTCTGCAAACAACACAAGGGGTGCCCTTTGAAGGGCGACCCTTCCTGGGTTGGGTGCTGTGGGGATCCACAGGTCCACAACTGGTGTAGCTCACCGCTTTCAAATATATTGCATTCTGGCAAAGATGGACCCCTAACCCTTCAAGAGGAGGAAAGGTCATTTCTTTTCACTTGACCTCCCTGGCATCCCTCGGACGGCCCTAAACCAGGGCAAAGTCCCCCAGATTTTGCAAAGCACACAATTGTCCTCGTGTCTGTGGATATTGCAACCATCCGAAATCCTGGCTCATCCCTGGACGGAAGGGCTGGTCTGATTTAACCCTGAGTCGCGAGCTTTCACACGGGGTTGGGGAAGCGATGTTAGGGGGCTGAAAAATGTTGAATTTGGTAAGAAAGTGGGAACTTGAGCGCCACTTGGCTTGGGGGAACCTGAGAACCTGAGAATTTCTGCGTCTTTCTTAGCGGTTCCCCACCCCACCTTGGCCTACTTTTGGGTCATTGATGGAGCCAACAAAAGCAGAAATTGAAGAAGGGCCAGACGGGTCTGTCCTGTACCAAGAAGTCCTCAGCATCTCACTCTGGAGGTCGAGGGCTTTCCGACACATACAGTTTAAGCTTGTTTTGTTTTCCAATCGCTGTTTTGAGCAAGGCGCGGGAAAAACTCAAATCCTGAGCATGTGCCAAAGCCCCCTTTCCCCCCAGCCCACTTTTCTACACACCCTGTTTATCAAGGGAGCAGTAAAGTTTGCCAGATGATCACCAGCAGAAAAAAAGGCTTTCCGAGAAGATCGAGACGCCTCCCACTGCATGAGTCTCTTCCTCAATGTGTTTGTTCTGAATTGTTTTCATTGCACCGCGTGGTCTCCTAATGGATTTAAAGATATTCTTACTTCAGCCGTTCTAAGGAGAGGGGTTATAACAATTTATTCTGCTGATTTGCAAAGCACACCTTATAGTTCATTGCTTGGTTTTGTTCTGTTTTTTTAATTTCCGTCAGAATTGGGGTGGTACAGATCTAGAGGAAGAACAATAAAGAAAATAAGCAATAAAGAAAAATAATCGGGGGGTTCAAAATTCAGAGGCTGCGTTGGAAGTTAAAACGGGGCGGGGAGTGTGAAGCGGATTGATTGATTTGATGAATCAGGTTAGTGAAAACCAGGAATGGTCCTTGGGTGGGTCCGATCCGTTGATTCATAACTCTGCCTCCTTTGTAACTTCCCTTTCATGCAGTGCTTAATTTAGACAAGTCGGAGATCTCTCTTACGTGCAAAATTAGGATTTTCATACTATGAGCTCCTCCCTTGGTGAGGAGGGGAAAACATTCTGTACATGCTCAGAGGCTGGTTGAGGAGGGAGGACCCAGAGGAAGGTCAGAAAGACAGAAGAGGTGGTGGAGCAATAACCCAAAACGGAGAAAGATAAATTGGTTCCCGATTTTGGCCACCTGAAAGTTGGTTTCCCAGCCAGAGGAGCGTTCTCTCTTTCAGTCCAGTTAGCCAGTAAGAAAAAGAAACATCTGAAATGCAGAATTGGTGTCAATTTCAACCTCCTTCTGCCAGTTTCCCACTTAGGAAAAAAATCCGAATAATTTCACTGGGGAACACACACGCAGAAGGTGGGGGGGGGGGGGCTTCAGATTCAACCCGCAAAATTGGGAGGAATGAAAACCATCTTTGCATCACGCCCACGGAGTGCCAGATCAGTTTTGAAGATCCCCAGATTCCTAAAAGGGGGGGAAATGGAGAGAGAGATCGTTTTCTGGCTCGCGCCAGACGATTTTCAGCACCGAGCGACTTTCCAGCCGGGTTTAAATTGAGCGGTTTGTCCCAATAAAAGACTTCAAAAGGTCCACCAGCCAGGGACGAAGGCAGCAGAGGCAAACCGTTTATTTATTTACTGTTTATTCCTCAGTAAAATGCCGCGCTCCCTTTAGCCATGCTGGTGGCCAGCTTCTGGGCTTCACAGAACGCTTCGTCGTCAGGCTAAGGAAGCGGACGACGCAAAACGGAGAGGGAAGGGGTGCCCTGCCTGTTGAGCAATTCAGCATCTCTCCTGGGCTGGGGCGGGGTGGTCGTTCCCCACTGCTCTCCTGGGGGCCCCAAAGAATGGGGCCGGGGCTGTTTGGAGACCCCAAAATTTGCCCCTGGCCTCTGCTGAACGGTCTCCCCGAAACCTGCTGGAAAACCGCCAGTCCCCGCGCGCC